ATTTAATGGCAACATTAGGAATCTTGAAAGCCACAGGCACAGAAAATCTGATACTGTTCAACCACTGATACCTAAAAAAAAAAAATGAATAGGTTCTACCCTCAGTCAGATTTCTCACTCTCAAAATCTGTTGGTCCATGTTTTCAATTCACTTGTAAATCCTGCATGTAAAAACTATAGTATTGTTGCCATGGTTGACCTGGCATTTTTTGTCTCTGTAAAGAGCAAATACATCCAATCATTAGCCTGGACTTATCAGTGAGTAATGTAATAGCATCACCAATAACTCACCAATAAATCTTATTGTATGAGTAAACCTGGTCAATCCCAGGGATATAGAGTATATCTGACCCCATCGTTCTTAGGAGAAATACAGAGCTAATATTAACACCTTGTGCATCATTGTGAAAACGTATGTGTAGCCGACCCAGGGAAAGGTCAGCACTGCATGCCGTTGGTAATGATGAAGATGCTGCCAGCTTACTCACTTGGTTTGGTTATTTTACCCGAGGAAGTGCAAAAGTAAACAGAAGGTATGTTTTCTCGTAGCTGCAGAAGTTGCGCACTTAGCCTAGAATTGTATTTTCGCAACATTGTGTGGGAGCCCAATGCGTTTTAGCGTTCAGTTTGAAACCCCTTTCTCAACAGTTACTGCGTTTTAATTTTTGTTATTTCTAGAGTTTTCCATTTGCTGTAATCTCAGAAGCATTATGTTGATTAATGAAACGTGGCTCAACTCGGAGCTGCTGCAGTTGGCTGTGAAGTCAATTAGTCCTCAAGGCTATTAGGAGGGTTGACATTAGTCTAAGCAGCGCATTTTGATTAGAGATGACAGACGAGTTACTACGGCACTGCCAGACATTCCTCACCCTTCATTTCAGGGGTGAAGCATCAGAGCTGATTGGACTGTGGAAACCCAACAGCCAAGTGCTTTTGCCAACTCGCTTATATTGGCAGTTTTATAGTGTAGTACACAAGGTTAATATGCACCAATCAGACATAGCACCCACAGCACTATGTAAGACCAGTGACAGAATGAAGGACAATCGGTTTCCTAGCCTGACAGGACAGCACTGGTTTTGGAAAATCACATTTTTTAAAGTTATGTTAACTCTTAACACAGGGTTTTGAATTGTTTTACTCAAAAAAAGGAATTGGGTCACAGGAAAAGGCCAATCTTAATTTAATAGATTTGAGTCAATACTCAAATGGAGACTTTTTTCCATAATTGTATTGATGTTTAGCTTTTTTGTGTGTTCATACATGACCTAACCCCTGTAGTTTTGTATGTTGTGTTTAACCTATGTGCTACCTTCCAGTCAAAATGACGCCACAGTGAAAATGACCCTGGGCTGGTCAAGTTAGGGAAAAAAGTTACCTTAAATTAATGAAAATATGGAAAACTTTCTGCAACAATGCAACTAAATAATTTCTAATTTGCCAATAATGACTTATGGTGCTTCCAGATGTGGTACATGGTTTATTTGAAACAAGTGCTACTGACTGTTAAAGCAATCAAAAAATTACCACTTTGATGCATAAATGGTGGGTTTTTTGACATGCAGTATATAAAGTTTTCGTGTTATTCAAACTGTATACGACGGCAGTAATGGATAATCTAGGTTATAGCACAATGGCCTTTTGTTGTGTCAGTTATTTATTGCGCTGAGGTTGAGCTGCACCAGTGCTGAGTGCGTCCAGGGGCTCATATTGTTAGGGAATCAGTGGGCCTTGTTTGGGGAGCTGAGAGGGTTTGTTAACAATGCCTTTTTATGTCGCAGACTGCGTGCTGCTGCAAACGTCCGCTCCAATTCTTGTTTTTCTGTTTTTTGAATGCAACACTTCTATTGTGTTCAAACAATGTGACTGTGCATCAGGTGCATGTTGCAAATATGGCATAATTGTATCCTCACATTTCTGCATAATTAATTGAAAATGTACTGATAGTGCCCACTGCTAATGAAGCTTTTTACTCGCGATATGGGGACAAGGACAAGAAAGGGGGCCAGGGATTAAGGGGGTTGCAGCAATGCCTTGTTAAAGAAAAAGAAAGGGTTTGAGTGTGTCGATTGGATTAACTTGTTTGGGCTTATTAAGAGGGGAGACACAGCAGCTTGTTAAAAGCACTGCATGGGGCATCCCACAGCGAGATGGCAGGGTCACCATTCAATTAGGCTCAAGTCCCGCCTACAGTCATTGTGACGGCTGTGTTCTGGGCCAAACCGGATCACACACCAAAAGGGAACTGCTGTCACCACTGTAGCGCACAAAACTCAAACTACAATCCACATTGACATTCCATACAATTTCTAGCCGTTTATTTTATTTGATCAAATTAGTTTTTGATGTTCAGAATACAATATGTTCATAATGTTAATGATGTATGTGAATTGTATTATTGACAGTTATAGTGTTTAGCATACAAGGAATTCTTTACAACATACATAACCACTACCATCTGTTGTTGGTTTTAATGGTAACCCGCACTTCTGTTTTATGTGTGTGTTCACCCGTGACCACCCTGCTTCACCCTGGACTTGGCAGGATGCTTATCTGGGCAGACAGCTTTGGGTGTAGGGAGCCTTCTCCTCTGATCTCTTCTGCAGTTTAAGACCCTTTTAACTAAGAAATAGCCCTCTGCCAGTCCCACCGCCTTTGGATTCTGGCTTATTCCCTCATCTCATGGGACTGATCTTCCGCCCCCATCACAAAACCCTGCAGCAGAGAGTTAGCAGAACGACGGGAAAGCAGAGATAGACTGGCCTAGCTGTTGAGATATCCTTGTACTGCAGTAATAGGAGACTTTTGAGTAGATTTGATGAGTGAGAAAGGTGCTGTAGTTGCTCACGTTCCATCACATCCTCGCTAACTCTGATTGTTGACCTGCTGTATGATGGGATATGGTGTATTTTGGTGCTGCTTTTTTTTCCTGCCACCTACAGACATGTGCTCGCAAAATGGGATAAGAGGAGATGAAAGGACATTTTAAACACCCCTTTCTTTTGTCTTTAAGGCAGTAACAAGCAAAAATTGTTCTTGAAATTGAATTGAAAAAGTAGATCTCTCACCAAAGTATAATGCCTCTGAATACATTTGGTGTGCAGGAAATGGAATAAAAGTGGTGATTGTCTTTCATTTCCAGGCTGAAAGCAGTAGAGGTATCCCCCTGTAAAACCAGCTTTTAGTCTCAATCTCTCCCTCTCCTCTTCTGTCTCGCTCAGCCACTACCTTGTAACAAATGGGCTGTGAGGAGGATGGCCCTGTTGTGAAATGAGTATCCGCACAGAGAGGACACACAGAAAGGATTATGTGAATGACGGTAATGAGCTCAAAGTGCTGGTGTGTTTGGTCCTCGCTCTGTCTGCACTGGATAGGAAATGGCACAGCTATAGCAAACCTCTTTTAACAGCAGCACCTGGCGACAAATAGAGTGGGCCCCTCTCCTCCATCTGCGGCATGTCTCAGCCTATGTGATTAAAAAAGCAATGAAAGACGGGCTTTTAGAGTTCAATTTACTGATTTTAATTAGTCAACGTCCTCTTTTCAACTCTTTTTTTTTTTGTCTTTGCAACACGATTGAGCAAGAGCTGCACAGGCCTTGAAGTCAACGGTAGAAGCAGAACAGTATTATATATGATTTATCCATTTCTCAGAATGGAAGTTTTTAACAACGTTTTAAACGATGTATTCAGAGTTTGTATTGAGGGTGTGAAGGACTATACCCTTCACAAAATATATATGTGGTAAGTTACTTAAATTGAATGTGGTTGTTGTTGTATTCTAATTCGTCTACCTGGAACTTTTGTAATCGTCTTCATTAGAATGATTTGCCGCGTATCACATCACAAGCCGTTGCTGTTGACGGAGAAGATGAACATTCTCCTATGAGATCTTTAATTATGGGATATGACCAGCACAAATGGGAATGATAGTGGCTGAAATATTTCAGTTCTTTGGTCTACAGACTCAAACACCAGCACGGCTTAGATCAGCTCCACAATCAGTCAAGCGTTTTAGGGGTGTGATGCCAGGAAACAAAACATCATCCAGCCATCAAAATAAAAAAAATGGAGAAACAATCACTTTCTGATGGAGAATGCATTTCTGTGCATGGTTGTAGTTGGTTACATCAACTTAGACAAAGGATTTGTAATCAGTCACCATTGTGCCATGTGACAGTGGTATGTTGCTGATTAATGAAGCCCTCTATGGTACATGAGGAGGCAGTCTGAAGCCTGGGTGTTTTCACAAATAAATAAATAAAAAGTATTTCCTGTACCACAAAGCTATGATGGGGTTTTTGAGTGGAAAACCGTACACTGCCGTCCTGACACTGAGTGAAGGTGGAAGTGTGGAGACGCAGGAGTGTGGCGCTAGAGATTTATGGCCTGGAGGAAGATTGATTAGCACCATCACTAGCCCTGATGTACGCTTGGCAGTCTCCTCCTCTCCACTCATCATGGTGGCTCACACACACATAACCATACCACAGGAATACTACACACCCGTGGGTCCCCCCAGGCCCTTCCTGACAGAACCCTGGAGCTTTTGCATGTTAAGTTGTAGTCGACAGACAGACTGCTGTTTTTTCAGCATTACCATTTTTGCTGTCCATAGATAACGCCATCAATCACCACATGCATAGGGCTGGAGGGAAGTGCCCAAATGTGGGTGTTTTAGGAGTGCCTGCGTGTTTGTTTTGAGAAGCGCCTCGTAGGCAGGAGATGTGCTTGAATGGCTCTGTGAATGTGTGTGAGCTGCAGAGTGACTGGTCCAGGCTGTGCTCTGAACCCGTGTCAGCTTCCCTGGTACAGGTGTGTTTATCATTCAGCACACAGAGCTGAGAGGCAGGCAGTTGGAGGCATGCTCCCCCAATTAAATCCAGGGTGAGAGACTTGGCCCATCTCACCTAAAGCCAGCTTCTATTGGCTTACCGGACACAGCCATGGAGCTCTGACTTTACCAACCTACCAACTCACCAAATATTCTGTCTCTTACAGGTTGCCCACAGAATTCTTCTGGCTGTTGAATTGTGCCCACCTCGCCATGCTGGCCTGTCTGCAGAGGAGGCAGAATCCCCCTCCCCAGCACTCGGTGTGTACCAGCAAGGTCCTGGAGCCGCCACAATCCCTGGGACGGAAATGTGAGTTCACAAAGTGACCGTAGGCATGAAGGCATGTTCAGAGGAGACAAAAGGAATAATTCTTGTTTGTCAGCTGGAGTTTGATAGTTGATGGAAATTGCTTGTTAACCCAATCTGTGAATGAGTGAAGGGAAATGTACTTTCCGGTTTCGATGTTCCTTCCTCACTCTGAGGAATTCTAAACAGCTTTACTCGCTCTGCATTTAGCTCTGCAGTTAGCGGTTCATTGTGCTGGGCTGTTTAGCTGTGCTGATTTTGCAGTCGTGGCAACAGGGCTGAACAGACAGTGTTTAACGTGGCCTCACTGGCCGGGGGTGACCCTGAGGGTCTGTAAACATTTACAGTGTCTGGCCTGGGCTCTGCACACTGCCTGTAAAGCATGACAGCTGCTCTGTTTGCACCAAGCACTGTCCTTGTCCACTCACAAAATGGTGCGAAGGGACAGGGAAGAAAACTGGTTAAGGGGGGGTTGAACTCGGCCTAACCAGTACTTCTTTTCTGGAGCACTTCAGGCTGTTGTTAATGGTTTTAATTCTATTTGTTGGTTGCTGTTTATATGTCATCACATAAGCACACAGAAATCATACTATATAGCAGTCATTCTTCTCAAAAAACTCCTTTTATTGACTGCATCATGTTGTGTGATCTCATTTACATATTTTAACTAGGGCTGTCAAAGATTAAAAAAAATTATTGAGTTAATTACAGCTCTAAAATTAATTAATCTTAATTAATTGCATTTCAAACTATTGGCAAAATTATGCTATATTTTTCTGTAAATGGTTGTTTGAATGGAAAGATAAATGACAACGTAGTGTACATATGTACTGTATTTGTTTATTATACAATAAATCCATATAAAATGGCACTAACATTATTAACATTCTGTCTTTCGCTTGTGACTCAGACCAAAACTATTGTTTGTTACAGATGAAGGACATTTCAAAACCGTCTGAAATGCAGAATGTCAGTAAATCTGTTTCATTTGCTCACACCATTACTTTTGGGCACAACCAACATGAACTGGTAGTGCAAGGGAAAATTAGGTACCCCAGCTTTAATTTAGCGAGTGCGCTTTGGGAGAAGACATGGAGGTGAGGTTCCTTTGTCCAGCTTCAGTGCTGTATTTATTCTGTGCACCGATTACGCAAAGACACGCACATTACAAGCAGAGAATAGTTCTGTGCGTGGTCTTGGATATGATCACGTTACAGCGACGCCGTTCGCTGTGACCACAGCCGCTGGAGGTGGGAGCTGCTGTTCAGAGCGCCCGCAACTCAGCTCACAGAGTCCATACAGGAAACGCGTGTATTCTTTTAAAACTTGGATTCCCAGAGGGCCTACCTGCTCTTTTTCCATCTCACACGCACGTGTCCGTGGCATAGTGTTATTATGGGATGCATGGGCATGCGTCAATCGCGTTAATGGAAATAATTAACGTGTGTTAACGCGATAATTTTGACAGCCCTAATTCTAACTTGTTTCTGGTTGAGCAAGGTTCGCTAGTGAGGCTTCAGATTGTAAACATTCTGATCAATAATAAAGAGCAGTCTCTCCAGCAGCCTTTGCCCAACCCTGTTAGACTCTCACTTCACTTTTCCACCTGTTAGACCTGTTGATTGAAAGGCTACCACAGAGACTGACTTCAGACTTATAATGAGAATGTTTGAACATAATGGCCTTCTTTCTATCATTGGAAGAGAGGGGGGGTGTTAGATTTCCACCCCGGTGCAGCTTTTTGCCTCAATAAGCCAATTGTGTGTTGTGTCCACAGAGGCAGCCAGTGACCATGACCAGGTCACTAGGCAGAGCAGGTTGCAGGGTTTTGTGTGGGTTTGCACTATTTGTGTCAATAGGAATTCACAGTGTGGCTTAAAGTGAGTGACCGTACTCATCAGTTAGAGGAAAGGAAGATGCAGCTGAGAAGTGGAGGTGTACTGCTGTATTTGCATCGGCTGTCCTTCACAGCATGAGGAATGAGCAGCAGAACAGTTAAGATGGGGCTAAAGAGGGTTTTGAAAAGGACTGTGCATGCAGATGCCGAGTGGCTATACAGTTCATTGATGCGACTCCCATTAAAAATCCTTCATACCCTCAATAAAAAAGGACTTAACTGGCTGTACCATCAGCTGGAAGCATTCAGATCGGCTCGCCAGACAATCAATTTCCCCCGAGCACGCAGAGCTTAGCGAGAGAAACGGGAGGCGGGGAGCGAGATGTTTCCATTATCACAGCCCGCTCTGTGTCTGGGCTCAGGGGGGAGGGATGAGCTACTGTCGAGAGGGGAGTGCAGGAGGCGGAAGGAAGGAATGGCAGAGTGAAGATGGCAAAAAACACACACAAGTGAAGAAAAGCATTAGAAGCAGAAGTGGAGACAGAGAAGCTGGCTTTATGAAAAGCCATTGACCGCCTGCCCTTAAAAATATCATATTGGATTAGCCTCACAGAGCGGCCTTTTGATATTTTATTTCTTGGCTGCAGAATTAAAAGTATTGCAGAGCTTTTTTGAATTATAAATCATAGGCACTTGCTTTCAGTTTGACCAAATTCCACACGTATGTCGCTCCACTCAGCAGCACCAGCCCCTGTCATTTTTAATTAAATCCCTCCCTTATGCTTGACATTTGTAGCCTGCCCCCACCGTAGATGGAGACATGAAAGCCAGAGACTGCAGTAGAGCCAGGGCTTCTCATCATGCAGTGTCCCAGAGAGGGGCTACCTATCCAGGCAGATGAGAGAGAGGGGCCTAGGGGGGGCACTGACCTCGGACACCTTTGGTCAGAGGCACCTCCCGTGCAGCGCTGTTCTCTTCATCAGTGCAAGTGGGTCTAAAGTGCACACAGTAAAGCGGGAGGGGAGGGGCCTGTGCACCCGTTCAGTGATGAGTAACACTGATGGCTGGACAGGAGGCCTAGCGCATCACTACCCCCCTCTTTCTGGGACCAGACAGCAATTACTTTGCCACATGTCAGCTAAAGAATAACAGGTCCCAAATCCCACAAATGACTGGAGAATAGCCAGACTGAAATGTCCCATCAGCCAAATCAATATACTGTATCAGATATCCACAGGTTTAATATTTTATTCATGAGCATATTTCATCCACACACAATAAATTGTAATTTTACATAATAAACAATACAAAACTCATATATTCATGTGAGATTGTTTGTTTTAATCCTCTCTTGATTGTGTGTTTTTTGTTGTTTTTTTATTTAACTACACAATTCCCCATCAACACACATTTTTTAGATTAGATATTAAGGTGAACTGTGTGTTTCCTCACTAAACCTTTCATGTCAACTTAGAAAACCTACAAATTGCCTTTTGGTTCATCAGAATCTTTCCAGCTGCGGCATTCAGTGTCAGTGTATACTTCATAGTTGCAGCCAACACCACCTCAGGGGCGTGAGGTGCCAATCAGCCGAGTGCAGATGAGCCTCTAGAAGGCCTGGGATTCCCAGTTCATGGAGCGACACATCAGTTCAGCCTTATTCCAGCTTGATGGACAGAGACCTGGCCTTGTCACACACCGCCTGGGGACATGTCATAGAGGTTCACTGTGGATTGTAGTTTTCCTAAATAGCCCTGTGACACTGTAGGCTTAGCAGCCCCTGCCATTAGATTTGCTAGCTGCACTCCTGCTAAACCTCTGCACCTTCTTTGAGAATATGTTTAAGAATACGTTATGTAAATACCTCTTCCATGGTCTGAAGCAGTCGAGACAAAGGAGGTGTCTGCATATTCATTTTCAGCCTATTTGCTCAATACTTGGTATATTGTTGAATATTTCATTATGGTTATGAAAATAAAGAAAAGGCAGCCTCCAGATTGCTTCTGTACTCTTGAGGTGAGGCAAAGTGGAGCTGCAGACAAGGGAGCGATCTGCATGCACTTGACCTTTTCCCACTGATTGAACTACTTGGTTTTCCAGCTCCATTTGAAATTCCACAGAGTGCCCACTGAGACTGTCATTATCCTCAGTGTGCAGTCGCGAGGCAGAGGTCAGACATACTTTTCATGGTGAACTGTGATTGACGGATGTCTGTGATTCTCTTCCTTGCTGTTTATTTATGCAGTTTAATTTCTCTAATCCCGAGCTGGCTGATGGGATGTCATTTATTGCTTGAGCTCAATGACACAGGCCCACACTATGCATTCAAGGCTTATTTAATATATACAGGTAACAGCATAGTGGTGTTTACATTATAATTCACAGTCTGTGTTCCAGCCCATTCTTGGCTCTAGAGTAGAGCACATACAGGATCATTTCCGGATGGTGGCATCCCACGGAGCCCTGACTTCTCTCTGCCCCCTGCCTTCTGCTGTGTACACAGGAGGTGAAAAAAATGTATTACCTCAAGAGGTGAGCTGGAGGAATAGGCCTCAACTTGAGCTTTGGGCACAGCAAGACTTGGGGTGAAAACAAGCTCTTGGTTCCAAGCTGGCATTTGGGCTTCACAGGTGCACAACTTTTGACACCCTTCGCTGTCCTGCCAGGGATAGGGATATAGTGAAGCTGCCCCACAGGAAATGACATGGTGTCTGTGCCAACACAGAGCTTTGCCCATTGCCCGGTGCAGAATAATTACTAATGTTGTCAAGGATATGCCTGCAGGTTTGTGTCGTCAACAACAGATTGGATCTTACATTGATTATCTATGTCTTTTGTAATCAGCTAATCATTTAACTTGTCTCACCAGACATTGAAAAAACTACAGAAAGGATTCACATTAGGTAAAATATTGTTTATTAAATAATATGTCAGTTTTTCATTTAATGTATCTTCATTTTCTCCACTCATTGAAATGACTTCTGCTGCAGAGAGTCTTGCTGTCTGTGCAGTGTTAAATATTAATTGAGAATCAGTGGCGGACTTGTCTTCTAAATGATAGAACAGAAGGGCTGGGGCTTGCCTGAGGCTGCCTGCGGGCGCTTCTCTTCTCCCATTTACCTGCGGGCCTGCACTCCGGCTCTTCACTGACGGTCCTCTGCGATGT